CCGTGGGCGACATTAAGCGGATGGCTCGGGACTGTCCATGGTGCGAATTCCATCACGGATGCCGGCCATCGGCCTCTTGGTGTGATCCGATCTAGTCCTGCAGCCGATTATATATATATATCGCCCGGGTCAACCAAGGAGCACCACCACTTATGGCCAACGGCTCTGACCCAAGCACGTCCCCCCAGTAAGCAACGTCGCTCGATTCAGATCACCGATGTGTAGTTTATAGTACAACGATAGAGATAATGTACACTGTAGATGGAGAGATGGAGAGATACACAACACACCAAAATCTAATATCTGGCCGACCTCGCGTACATGCACCGTAGAGATCCTTGTAGGTCGCCCACCGACAACGCCTCTCAGGCAGGTCGTAGGCCGCACGGGCTGGCAAATCCACCGATCAACCTCTCCACATCGCCATGTAGCGACGCCTCGGACCGTCAACCGGCGTGGGGAGGGGGGCGCACAGCCGGGCGCTTGCGTTTTGTGTAGCCCTCACAACTACGGCGGAGGCCCACGTGACTGGCCGGTGGGCGGAGGAGTGGAAGGGCACAGGAGTGGGTGTTGGCGGCGTGGGCGGCCGACAGCGGTTTGCGAGAGTGAGCACAACGGGCGTAACGTCGGAGCGTATGGCCGCGTAACGGGCAGCGAGCGTGGACAGAAATGCCTAAGTCCCCTTGCAGCCCGGGTAGAGGGCATGTGTGGGTGGCCCACTTTGTATGGGAAAAGCGGCTGACGCACGGACCACCACATACTATATGGGTCCCCCCCGGTTCACTTTCGGACCACAAAACGTTTGCGCGCCGGTCTGCGGGCCAGGGAGGGCCGGTGGTACTATGTGGAAGGTGAAAGGCAGCTGATCTCAGCTGCTGGAAGCCCACCCACACTTCTTCCCTGCCAGGCAGGTCACCTCTCCGTGACTGGTGGCGCACAGGTCCTTCGGGGCCTCGCTTCAGGAACGGGGGTGCCCGCCCACCCCGGCCCGTTGGTATTTCTCCCGCGCGGCTGGTGTGTTCTCTGGTCTTAGGTGCTCTGCCCCGCGGCTGCGAGTCGACTGGAGGTCCGGAGTGTCCCTTGCGGACGCGCCCGTGACCCCTGAGATATCGTGTCGCGGGGATCTGTAGCTTGCCAAGTCAGAGGCGCGCCGGCTTAATCATGCCCGGGGGTGCCCGTTGTTGCCGGGGTGTCTGAAGCCCGGGGCCGTTCTCGGTCCCCGGCACCGATGGAGTCTGTGGATCGTTGGCCGCTGGCCAGCCTTCTTTTACAGATTCCCGGGGGGAGCCGCTCCGCGGGAGCCGCCGTTCGTCGGCGTGTCCGCGGAGTCTGGACCCTCCACCCGAGGGCCGTATGCCGCAGCCTGCCAACGCCTGCAAAGGCGATTCCTGGCCGGGTCTACCTGCGTGCGGACCGGTTCCTGGGGGGCTACAGTGGGGGCAATTGGATGGTCATCTGTGTACTCCCGGTGCGCCGGGGGTGTCGCTGTGGCCGGGCACTTCGTGTGCCCCTTCCAGAGTGAAGCCTACGTTACACGCTGCCTCTTCGGAGGCTTTGGGGTGCGTCTTGCGGAGCATATCTACGGATACGCTCCCGGGCACACCCTGCAGGAACTAGGTATCTGGTTGATTCTGCCAGTAGTCATATGCTTGTCTCAAAGATTAAGCCATGCATGTCTAAGTATAAGCACTTTATACTGTGAAACTGCGAATGGCTCATTAAATCAGTTATCGTTTATTTGATAGTACCTTACTACATGGATACCTGTGGTAATTCTAGAGCTAATACATGCTGAAAACCTCGACTTCGGAAGGGGTGTATTTATTAGATAAAAAACCAATGCCCTTCGGGGCTCCTTGGTGAATCATAATAACTTAACGAATCGCATGGCCTTGCGCCGGCGATGGTTCATTCAAATTTCTGCCCTATCAACTTTCGATGGTAGGATAGTGGCCTACCATGGTGGCAACGGGTAACGGGGAATTAGGGTTCGATTCCGGAGAGGGAGCCTGAGAAACGGCTACCACATCCAAGGAAGGCAGCAGGCGCGCAAATTACCCAATCCCGACACGGGGAGGTAGTGACAATAAATACTGATACGGGGCTCTTTTGGGTCTCGTAATTGGAATGAGTACAATCTAAATCCCTTAACGAGGAACAATTGGAGGGCAAGTCTGGTGCCAGCAGCCGCGGTAATTCCAGCTCCAATAGCGTATATTAAAGTTGTTGCAGTTAAAAAGCTCGTAGTTGAACCTTGGGTCTGGCTGGCCGGTCCGCCTCACCGCGAGTACTGGTCCGGCTGGACCTTTCCTTCTGGGGAATCTCATGGCCTTCACTGGCTGTGGGGGGAACCAGGACTTTTACTGTGAAAAAATTAGAGTGTTCAAAGCAGGCCTTTGCTCGAATACATTAGCATGGAATAATAGAATAGGACGTGCGGTTCTATTTTGTTGGTTTCTAGGACCGCCGTAATGATTAATAGGGATAGTCGGGGGCGTCAGTATTCAGCTGTCAGAGGTGAAATTCTTGGATTTGCTGAAGACTAACTACTGCGAAAGCATTCGCCAAGATTTCATTAATCATTACGGCGGTCCTAGAAACCAACAAAATAGAACGCACGTCCTATTCTATTATTCCATGCTAATGTATTCGAGCAAAGGCCTGCTTTGAACACTCTAATTTTTTCACAGTAAAAGTCCTGGTTCCCCCCACAGCCAGTGAAGGCCATGAGATTCCCCAGAAGGAAAGGTCCAGCCGGACCAGTACTCGCGGTGAGGCGGACCGGCCAGCCAGACCCAAGGTTCAACTACGAGCTTTTTAACTGCAACAACTTTAATATACGCTATTGGAGCTGGAATTACCGCGGCTGCTGGCACCAGACTTGCCCTCCAATTGTTCCTCGTTAAGGGATTTAGATTGTACTCATTCCAATTACGAGACCCAAAAGAGCCCCGTATCAGTATTTATTGTCACTACCTCCCCGTGTCGGGATTGGGTAATTTGCGCGCCTGCTGCCTTCCTTGGATGTGGTAGCCGTTTCTCAGGCTCCCTCTCCGGAATCGAACCCTAATTCCCCGTTACCCGTTGCCACCATGGTAGGCCACTATCCTACCATCGAAAGTTGATAGGGCAGAAATTTGAATGAACCATCGCCGGCGCAAGGCCATGCGATTCGTTAAGTTATTATGATTCACCAAGGAGCCCCGAAGGGCATTGGTTTTTTATCTAATAAATACACCCCTTCCGAAGTCGAGGTTTTCAGCATGTATTAGCTCTAGAATTACCACAGGTATCCATGTAGTAAGGTACTATCAAATAAACGATAACTGATTTAATGAGCCATTCGCAGTTTCACAGTATAAAGTGCTTATACTTAGACATGCATGGCTTAATCTTTGAGACAAGCATATGACTACTGGCAGAATCAACCAGATACCTAGTTCCTGCAGGGTGTGCCCGGGAGCGTATCCGTAGATATGCTCCGCAAGACGCACCCCAAAGCCTCCGAAGAGGCAGCGTGTAACGTAGGCTTCACTCTGGAAGGGGCACACGAAGTGCCCGGCCACAGCGACACCCCCGGCGCACCGGGAGTACACAGATGACCATCCAATTGCCCCCACTGTAGCCCCCCAGGAACCGGTCCGCACGCAGGTAGACCCGGCCAGGAATCGCCTTTGCAGGCGTTGGCAGGCTGCGGCATACGGCCCTCGGGTGGAGGGTCCAGACTCCGCGGACACGCCGACGAACGGCGGCTCCCGCGGAGCGGCTCCCCCCGGGAATCTGTAAAAGAAGGCTGGCCAGCGGCCAACGATCCACAGACTCCATCGGTGCCGGGGACCGAGAACGGCCCCGGGCTTCAGACACCCCGGCAACAACGGGCACCCCCGGGCATGATTAAGCCGGCGCGCCTCTGACTTGGCAAGCTACAGATCCCCGCGACACGATATCTCAGGGGTCACGGGCGCGTCCGCAAGGGACACTCCGGACCTCCAGTCGACTCGCAGCCGCGGGGCAGAGCACCTAAGACCAGAGAACACACCAGCCGCGCGGGAGAAATACCAACGGGCCGGGGTGGGCGGGCACCCCCGTTCCTGAAGCGAGGCCCCGAAGGACCTGTGCGCCACCAGTCACGGAGAGGTGACCTGCCTGGCAGGGAAGAAGTGTGGGTGGGCTTCCAGCAGCTGAGATCAGCTGCCTTTCACCTTCCACATAGTACCACCGGCCCTCCCTGGCCCGCAGACCGGCGCGCAAACGTTTTGTGGTCCGAAAGTGAACCGGGGGGGACCCATATAGTATGTGGTGGTCCGTGCGTCAGCCGCTTTTCCCATACAAAGTGGGCCACCCACACATGCCCTCTACCCGGGCTGCAAGGGGACTTAGGCATTTCTGTCCACGCTCGCTGCCCGTTACGCGGCCATACGCTCCGACGTTACGCCCGTTGTGCTCACTCTCGCAAACCGCTGTCGGCCGCCCACGCCGCCAACACCCACTCCTGTGCCCTTCCACTCCTCCGCCCACCGGCCAGTCACGTGGGCCTCCGCCGTAGTTGTGAGGGCTACACAAAACGCAAGCGCCCGGCTGTGCGCCCCCCTCCCCACGCCGGTTGACGGTCCGAGGCGTCGCTACATGGCGATGTGGAGAGGTTGATCGGTGGATTTGCCAGCCCGTGCGGCCTACGACCTGCCTGAGAGGCGTTGTCGGTGGGCGACCTACAAGGATCTCTACGGTGCATGTACGCGAGGTCGGCCAGATATTAGATTTTGGTGTGTTGTGTATCTCTCCATCTCTCCATCTACAGTGTACATTATCTCTATCGTTGTACTATAAACTACACATCGGTGATCTGAATCGAGCGACGTTGCTTACTGGGGGACGTGCTTGGGTCAGAGCCGTTGGCCATAAGTGGTGGTGCTCCTTGGTTGACCCGGGCGATATATATATATAATCGGCTGCAGGACTAGATCGGATCACACCAAGAGGCCGATGGCCGGCATCCGTGATGGAATTCGCACATGGACAGTCCCGAGCCATCGCTTAATGTCGCCCACGGG